GGCACAGGGCCTTGAGAAGAACCTGGATTGGAGTACCTAACTATCTGGGAAGGAGAAGGGCAGGTTATCAGAGAAGGCTTCCAGAGGACGTGACAACCTAGGTTGGTAACAAAGTAGAGAGGGCAACCCCCCCAAAACCAGAATTTATTTATTTCCAAAGCTACGTATTTAAATTTACTTACAGAACAACCTTATCACCTTCAAAGTACTCTCCATCACACTTAATACATTTGTCAAGTCTGAGATGCCATTCTTGGAAACATTTTTCAAACTCATCTCTGTTTGGATGGCTGACAGCACCTCCCTTATTTTTTGTTTTGTTTTCTTTCTTTACCTCTTCTACATTGTCTAATCGCTGTCCTTTCATGTCCCTCTTCATTCTCAGAAACAAAAAAAAGTCACATGGCGCGAGGTATGTGGGGCAAGAGAGGCATACTGTGCTTTGCCAAAAACTGGTGCAGAGAGATGGTGCAAAAACTGCTGCATGAGCAGGTGCCTTGCTGTGGTAGCAAAATCTGTCCCGTCTGCCACAGATCAGGCCTTTTTAGTCTCACACTGCTTTGCCGCAATCTTTTCAGAACCTCCAAATAGAAAGCTCGATTAACTGTCTGACCTGGTGGAATGAACTCCAATGCACTATCCTCCTCACATCAATAAAGCAAATGAGCATCATCTTGATCTTTGATTTGACTTGATGAGCTTTTTTGGGGCGAGGTGATGATGGCGTCTTCCACTGGCTTGATTGATGTTTGCTTTCAGGGTCTTAAACCACAAAACCATGTCTCATTACCAGTAATGACCTTGGAAAAAAAGTCTGGGTCACTTTCAAAGCATGGCATGTTTCTATCTGATGTTCTTCTTCCTGACCAGTCAGAACCCGTGGCACAAATTACATAGCGACCTTCTCATTCCCAAATCTTCCATTAAAATTTGCTGAACCGAGCTCCAAGAGAGCCCAGATAATTTCCCCATCTCTTCAATGGTCCGTCGTCATTGGTCACCGAGCACAAGTGAATGAATTTTGTCGACACTTTTGTTGGTCCAGGAAGTTGACAGATGTCCAGAAAGAGGTTTGTCATCAATCGACATTTCACTTTTTTGAAACAAGAAAACCACTTATACATTTGAGTTTTTCCTATAGTGCTGTCCTTGTAAGCTGTGTTCACCATTGCAAGTTTCTTTGGCATTTTTCCCAAGCAGGAAATAAAATTTCACAGCCATCACAAATTGAGGTTTGAGTGAAACTACTTTCAAAAAAAAATTCACTGTGACCAGAGAGAACCTTTCCAGGTGACACCACCTGGTGCACTAACTCAGACCGAGTTGTTGGATGCTCACCTTGTAGGAAAAATGTGTACTACTATAAAAGCCCCACTCAGTGGAGCTTTTTTCCACTTTTTTTGAGGGGTGGGAGGGCATCCCTCATATCTACAAGGGAGTTCCTTACCTAGAGAAGATAGGAAGGAGATCCCAAAGATGCTATGAGAGAATACTGGTGAAAAGAAAATTGCAGAAATGTCAAGGAAAATCCAGGCATTTGCTGGATCATCTTTCTAGACTGTTTTTGCGGCACTGAGAAAAAAATGGAATGAGGATAGAGCGATGGGCAGAGCCCAGGTTATGGAGGGCCATTCGGGCCACACGATAATGAGAAGTCACTGCAAGGGAACAGCAGGCTCTGGGCCCTTCCTTCTACCAGCCCATCTGAAAGTCATGTCTACTTTCCCCACTGCTGGACTCTCCACAGCCAAGGTCCCTGATAGCTTTGTCTCATGAAATTTCTGAGATCCAAGTGGTACAATGCTTTAGCACTAAGCTGTTCACCGGAAGGGTAGCAGCTTGGACCCACCCATCGGCTTTACAAGATAAAGATCTCTCAATCTGCTCCCGTGAAGGTGACAGCCAGCCAGGAACCCTCACGGGATCCCCGGGAGTGGAAAATTATCATAACAGCACCTAACAACAACAACAAAGTTTAAAAGGCTTCAAAGAAAGGAAGACTTGAACTTTGGATGAAAAATAAATTCTGCATATAATTTATATCAATAAAGAACTCCTCTTGTGGTATGAGGGTGCTTCAAAAAAATTTATGGGGAAATCCCATCATCTTTTAATTCTATTTATCCCCCACAAACTTTTAGAAGCTGCTCTTTTTTTTTTTTTTTTCACTCACAGACAATTTGGCGTTCTGAAGAAGGGCCACTTTCCCTCATCTTTTTCTGTGTATTTTTATAATGAACCTGGCTTTCCAAATATGAACCGTAATTGGTCTTACTGTCTATCCAAAAAAAAGGTTTTTTTTGTTAACATTTGATTAAATAAGTCTGGTCTAAACACTCCTGAATAAAATACTGTAGAGGAGCCATGTTGGTGTAGTGTTTGCACATTGGATTGCAATCTGTATGGTTGGCAGTTCGAAACCACCAGCAGCTTCTTGGGAGAGTCAGGGCTTTCTCCTCCCGTAAGTAGTTATAGTCTCGGGAACCCACAGGGAGCTGCTAGGAGTCAGCATAGACTGGATGACAGTAAGTTTGGTTTGGTTTGGGTGGCATGGTGGTTATGAATTGGGCTGTGAGCAAAAAGCCTAGCAGTTCTAAACCACCAGCCACATTCTACTCCCATAAATAGTGACAGTCTTAGAAGCCCATAGGGGCAGTTCTACCCTGTCCGATAGGGTCGCCAGAAATCAGAATCAACTCGACGCAGTGAATTTGGTATGGGCAGACTCAGGATGAGGATGGACTTGCACCACCAGTCTTTGGGTTTACCGCTAAGGGAGTTCATCATTTGTCCCACCCAGGACTCCTTGGAAATATATCCAATAAACATTGGCTGGTGATAGAGAAGAGAACTAGGGAATAGAGGTGTGAGGCAGACTTAATAATTTTGCATAATTTAACATTTTGGAATCATGAGAGTATGTTCCCTATTTTTAAAAAAACTGACTTAAAAATAAAATCGGAAGACATATCTGATGGTAAGATTTCTCAGGAAATTATCTTTTTTTAAAAAGAATAAGGATGGGGAAAAATTAGTGCCAAATATGCTCTTACTAGACATTCATAAAAAATTAATACTCAACCATTTAATTCCCAGAATTTAAATATCATGCAGACATGTTTATACCCAGAATAAGGTAGCAAGTACACAGAATAGTGAGGGACTGATGGGCTGAAAACACGAACACCAGCATATTCTATTCTTTTTCGAAAAGTGTCTTCTTTATGCTGCGTGAGAATGAGGTTCTCAGGACCCTTCCTGTTCTTGTGCTCTCAACAGTGGCTGAACTCAGGACCTACACCTCTTTGCTTCCCCAGCCCCAGCCCCTAATAACTTTAACTGAAGGACACTCCCATTTCCATGGGCTCAGAGAAGGAACAGCCACATGAAAACTCTTCAAGGTGGGAAACAAGGAAACTGGCATGGAATGTAAGCTGGATGGTGGCAATCAATTCTGGCCAGGTTGCCTTACCCTGACTTAGCTGGCACAGCAATTCTGCTATGCCCCAGCCACACCACACCCCACTCCCAATAGCTCTGTTAGCTTCCTTTCCAGTTCAAACCAAATACATGATTCTTCCTTCTTTTCCTGGTGGAAGAGAGGAGCTCACACTTTGGGACCCACAAATCTAGGATCAGATGCCAGCTTTGCCTCCAAACAAGCTGTGCAACTATGAGCACATGCCTTCAACCTCTGGAAACCTCATTTTCTTCATCTGTACTTGCAGATGTCCCTGGGTGGTACAAACCATGAATGTGCTTGTGGTTGAGTTCACCAGAAGTAGCCCAGAAGAAAGGCCTGGTGACCCACTTCTGGAAAATCAGCCATGGAAAACTCTTACAGTGCTCCTCCAACATATACAGTGTTGTCCAGGTGTGGCCCAACGCCATGGGAACTGGTTTATTTGTCCTTTTTGTTTTTAAGTATGACATCACTTTCAGTGGTGAGTGTCCCTTCAATCAGCTATCAGGTGTGTCAATGATACCACCTACACTCAGGTGCGGGAAGTTATTTCAAGTAGGGCAGGCATATAGAAAACACCCTCACACTGGGCCAATACCCAGTATCTGCATGCTGGTGCAATAGTGACAAAGTGTCTGTGGGGACATCAGCACCTGAGATAGGTCACAGGTCACACAGGCATTCTCTGTGAAGAAACCCAGTTCTGAATCAGAAGGAGTGTGCGGTGCCTTCCGGTGCCTGACATACTTTGGAACTCTTCCCAAATACTCATAGACAATTGGAAAACTTCAAAGTACCTAAAAACAAGAGTGTGCCAACTGGAGCTGCTAATAGCAAATTGTGACTAAAAGATGAGAATTCACTGTGAATCAACTCCAGCTAGAATTTCTCTTTTTATTTCAATTCACTGTTGCCCACTTCTCTAAGTAATAAAATATCAGACTAGATTTACTGAGCTAAATTGAGATCTGAGAATTGCTTTCAAATTTTAGACTAAAGACAGTTAAGCCAGTAAGAATAAGAATCTGTCAACACCCCAAAAGATTTCAAAGGTTCTAAAAACAGCCGGTCTAACAAACATTTCCCACCACAACAGCTCCGTGGACTTCCAGCAAATGTTGATGGCATCACTCATGCATAACAATCCTTTCAAAGAAGAAACACTGCTATTTCTAGAAGGCTTCCTAAAACGGTCAGTCTCGTTATGTCATAGTCGTGCTTGTTCAAAACTACTAAAAGTGATCATTCAAAAGGCCAAGTGAAAATAACAGTTGATAATAATGTGGTTCACAAAGCAAAGAGCTACTTCTGTAGCTGTTCTTATACTTGTTAGATCACAGTAACCCACAGGTCCATAGACAACAGAGGTTGCACTAAAACATCGCTACAAAAAAAAGCAACCAAGTGAATCATTTGATAAGCATCTGCCCCTACACGCGCCCCCAGCCGCAAATGCATTCGTTCTCGGAGGAACAGAACGCTAGCAAAGTCCAACTCATTGGGAAAAGAGAAAATGGGAGCAGACACGGGTACTTACCTGGAATCCTATTAAGCGTCACCCAGAAATGTTCGTCGGGACTGTAAGTATCTTTAGACCACTGCAGTAGATCAATGGCTCGTTTGTCGTGAAAGATAAAATTGACAAACTCTCTGGTAAGGGCTACGTAGGCTGTGCCAAAGTAGATGGTCAGCTGATGTGGAGGGGAGGTTTTCAACACCTTAGTATTTTGCACAAAAGAGCCGTGTTTGCCTATGTACTCTCGGTGGACATATTTAGTCCGCTTAATTGCATGTTCAGGGGGCAGCACCCCTGGAGTGATATTTTTCCCTTTAAACCCTTTCAGATACTGAACGATCTCCTTGTTGGTTTTCAGGGGGAAATCTTGCCCACAGGTGTTGATCACGTACTTCCAGGGAACCTCCGAGGTGACCAGGTCTCTCATGCAGTTCAGGTCAGCCTGGAGCCTGGAAATTCCTGCATAAACTACAGGCTCAATCTTCGAAGCAATAAAAGCATTTTGGAAGCAGCTCAGTAGTTGGCCCACAGATTGCTTAAACTCGGAGGGGGCTTTTTCATCTACATGGATGCAGTAGACATTTTGGGGCATATAGACAGCCCTGAAGAGCCTCTCAAAAGTGTTAAAGTCCTTGTGGATGACCATGACATACGCCAAGGGGAATGCAGCTTCTTCTTCGGACAGAGAACTGGTGATATAGTGGCTCTGGGTCAGGTAATCCTTGCAAGAGACAATTCCCAACGGTGATGCTAACGGCTTTCCCCACAAAAAGGAGGACTTCCCTTCGAAGGCAGAATCACAGGCATGGATTCGAAAATACCTTTCACCGGAAATATTCAGCTTCTCATAACTTTTTGGCAGGCTTAACTGGCTATTGTATAATATCACAAAAAGTGCTACGCTGAACACTGTAACAGCAAAAAGACAATACCTCCAAAAGTTCATTCTTTTCACTTCCTCGGTCACGAACTCTCTCTCTTCGGGGACTGAGAAATGACCTGTCCCCAAAGCCACAAGTGTAAAAGGTTGCCCGTCTTAAACGCTGGCAGAATCTACAGGGCTGGCTCTCCCCGTGCCCTTCAGTCCTCCTTCACTCTCGGTTCCCAGGTCTCGTCCATCCTGTCCATCGAATTCGCAGGCGGTGCGATGCTTTTTCCACCAACCCGCCCGGGTCGGGAGTCGCCGGGCGCTGTACCCTTGCGGCCGGCTGAGCAGTCGCTCAGCTCTGCACCTCTGGCGCGGCGGGCTTCCACTCCCGCAGCCCTCCTCATTTGCATGCGAGACGCCATTGGCTGATGTGTGCAGATTACGTATTGGAATGGAATGACAGCCAGCCCTTCTGCCCGGAGCCGACTTAATGCAGCTTCACCCCTACCTGCCCCCCACCCCCGCCCCTGGCGTCAGATCTCGTCCTATTTCCCGTCTGCCCTCGCGCTTCCCCTCTGCGATCAGTCTTGCCAGAAGTTCTCCTTTCTCTGGTGGGTGCCATATCCTGCAAGGGATCTTGGAAACCACACCCCTGAGCGCATCTGCTCCCCAACTCTATTTCTCTTCCTGTTTTTCTGCCACTTCTTTTTTGTGTCAGTGTTTTCTCCACCTTCTGGGCACGCAGGTACTGACGCAGAGAAGAATGGCGCGCACCTAAGTGGATCACCAGAGGTCCGCGAATCTTGCTGGGTGTGTGGTCGGTGTTTGCGGGATTCAATCAGACGGATCTGATGCAGTGGCGCTGCGTAGCCTGTGTATGTCCGTCTGTGCAGGCTGTGGCAGAGGGAACCAAGAATGACACCTTTATGAGCATAGGATGGGGAACGGAATAGAGATGGAGTGCCTTGGAGCATTCAACGTTCGTGTGGATGGCTTCTAATGAAATAAACGCACCTTGGTGTGTGCGCAGGAGAGAAATGTGATAGCCATCGTTCCCGAGGAGGCCAGGCGAGGCTGGTTCCCCTCTCACGCAGCAAACCTCAGATAACTCGAGCTGTTGACGCTCTCTGGTCTCTAAGACATGGAGTGCCCAGTTTTAGGCTACTCTCATGACCGATGCCAGGTTTGAGCCCATGGTTGCTATCTACAAGGTCGGTAGTTGGAACTTGCCAGCTGCTCGGAGGGAGAGAGATGAGGGCATCCACTCCTGTAAAGATTAAAGTCTTGGAAACTCAAAGGGGCAACTCTACTATTCTGCCCTACAGAGTCTCTGAGATGGCAATGAGTCCACCAAACAGACTGAAACCGCCCCATAGGATTTCGATTTCCTGGGCTGCAATCTTCTCTCCCTTGGAGCTGCTGCTGAGTTCAAGTCGCCAGGCTTTCATTTAGCAACCATGCACTTGACCATAAGGCAAACCACACTCAGTGCCATCGCGGCGATTCTGACTCACCGGGAATGACCCGATAGGTCAGGGTAGAATCACCCTTGTGGGTTTCCAAGACTGTAACTCTTGACAGGAGGTTAGAAAGCCTCATCTTGCAGAGCGGCTGGTAATTTCGAACTTCTAACCTTGCAGATCACAGCCCAACATGGGACCACTATACCATTAGGGCTCAAATCCCACAAAATGACTAGCTGTGTGACCCGGGGAAAGTTACTCAACTGCTAAGTCTGGCTTTTCATCTGTGGAATTGTAATATATTTCATTGATAAGTCATATGAAGGGTCTAGCAGAGATCTCAGCAGCGACTGTATGTTGTATATACATAAAACTCACTGCCATTGCTGAGACAGACTAGCAGAAGAAACTCCATTTTTATAAGATGCTAAGTAGCTTGCCTGTTCCTCCCTCCCCTCTCAGAAAGTTGACTGCTAGTTGACCTGCCCGCTCTCCCTCCCCTTATGGGAAAGTCTCTGCTGGGGATTAATTTTAGAATGTACTCCCATGTTCCCAGGTTCTGGACACTACAGTTAGTTTCGATTATTCAATATGTCGTTTGTTCTGATTCAATATTGTTCCCTTGGATGTTGTGATCTGAATTATGTATTTAATCTTGTCATGAGAACCAGAATGTAACCACATAATCTTGTTATGGTAACCAGGATGTTATCATCAATTTTTATATTGTTTCTTTTAGGATAAGAAATGTACCTTGTAATGCATGCTAACCCTTCTGTAACTGCTTGTACCACCCAGAGAGGACACATCTTCTTGAGGTTACAATTAATCCATTCATTTTGCTTTCTGTTTCTGTTCATGCTTGCTTGAACCTTAGACAGGTGATAAATGAGGTTTTTGGCCTTAAAGATGAACTGAAATGTGGACTCGGGACTGCAATCAAAGACTCACTTTTAGATTCTAGCTGTCCAGTTATAACCAAAGACTCTTCTAAATGATGAAGACATTATAGTGGCTGTCATTTATTCAAATCCCAAACATTGAGTTGACTCCAACTCATAGCGATCCTTTGGGCAGAATAGAACTACCCTATGTGCTTTCAAGGTTTTACATCTTTATGGGAACAGAAAGCCTCCTCTTTCTCTTTCAGAGTGACTGGTGGTTTCAAACTGTTGACCTTGAAGTTAGCAGCCCAACGTGTAATCCACTATACCACCAGGGCTCCTTATGTCCAGTAAGCACCTAGTATATGTTCAATACAAATTAGCTGTGTCTGTTCCACACTTATCTGTCAATCTGTTGTACTGTGGTAGCAAGAGTGTTGCTCTTAACGATTTGCCATTTCAAATACAAGCAAGGGTTACTGATGGTGGACAGGTTTCAGTAGAGCCTCTAGATCAGTGGTTCTCAACCTTCTTAATGCCGCGACCTTTAATACAGTTCCTCATGTTGTGGTGACCCCCCAACCATAAAATTATTTTCATTGCTACTTCCCTGTGAAAGGTTGTTTTACCCCCAAAGGGGTCACGGACCAACAGGTTGAGAACCACCGGTCTAGATTAAGACTACAAAAAAAGGCCCGGTCATCTAATTCTGAAATTTAGCTAAGGAAAACCTATGGATCACATGAGCCCTCTAGGTTGGAAGGTAACCATGGACATTACTGCAAGCAATTGTGAGGCTGGCACAAGACTAGGCAGTGTTTCTATTGTGCCTGGGTTTGCCATGCATCAGAGCCAACTTGATGACAACTCACAACAACAAATATTGTTACTGTAGTCTAGGTTTGCCTGTGAAAAAATTACCCAACACTTCTGACCTCTGCCAGTGAACTTAATTTTTATTTCAGTTCATAGGAATAGAGCAATGAACATTGATGGACTTTTTCAACTGCTTCAAATGGGCTTATTAGTTCTCATGATGTATTCCTCATTTCTTTCCACATTGCTGCCCCTGCTTCACCCCCAGAAGAACCAGAAATGTGGCTGTGTGCAGGGAACGTAGGAAGAATCCATCTCGGTGCCTTCGCTGCCCCTGCAGTCTTATTAGAGGCACACCCTTGTCTGCAAAACATCCTTGGCAGACACACAGGAAGATGAAGTGGGAGAGCCAGGGAAGCAGAAGGCTTTCAGTGCAGGTTCAGTTTCTCCCTCTATCTCTCTGTCCCTCCCTCCAGGCCTCCCTTCTCTCCCTCCCTCTTTGCCTTAAAACCTGATCTGGTGGATGGCCAATGCAAAGCCCACAGACAATCTTTCATTGTGATTCCGTCAAAACAGATTACAAATTGGGAGACTGCAACATTACTTTTAGGTAAAACGGCAGTCTCCACAAAACCAGTGCTATAAAGTCTGTCCTTATTTACAATGGTTTAGATGAAGCAACTGAGATTAGATTGTGATGCCCTCTTATTTTAATGACTGGCCTGGTGGTAGGTTTATTTTGCCTCGTTTCTGTGGTAACTGAGCTGACATTTTATTCTGGCAAATAATTGAGTGGGGTAAGCTACTAACTTCCATCCGGGATATTTTTTTCTACTCTGTTCACTCTCACGGGCTTGTGTTAGGTGCTGTCGAGTTGGTCCCTATCCATAGCAACTCAGTGTACAACAGAACAAAACATTGCCCAGTCTTAGGCTACCCTCATGAGCACTGGCAGGTTTGAGCCCACTGTTGCACCTACTGTGTCAATCCATCTTTCTTCCCCTCCACTTTTCCAAGCATGATGTCCTTCTACAAGTCTGGCCCCTCCTGAGAGTGTGTCCAAAGTGCATAAGCTGAAGTCTTAGCCTCTCTTAGTGCTGAGGGGCATCCTGGATATTCTTCCTCCAAGACAGACTTGTTTGTTCTTCTGGAAGCCCATGACAGAGCTAATATTCTTTGCCAACCCCATAATTCAAGGGCATCCATTCATCTTTGATTTTCCTTAGTCATTGCTCCACTTTTGTATGCATATGAGGCCACAGAAAATACCATAGCTTGGGGCAGGTGCATCTGAGTCATCGAGTTGACATCTTTTAAGACTTTATAGAGTTTTTGCAGCAGGTTTGTCCAATCAATGTTACTTTATTTCTTAACTGCTGCTTTCATGAGCATTGATTATGAATCCAAGTAAAATGGAATCTTTGGCAACTTCGACATTCTCTGTTTATCATGATGTTGTTTTTGGTCCCTTGTTTCCCTTGAGGCTGTAGTATAATCCAGACGGAAGGCTTTGCTCTTGATCAGTCATGCTTCAAGCCCTCCTCATTTTCAGCAAGCAGGCCTCTCTCATCTGCATATCGAAGGTTGTTAGTGAGTCCTCCTCTAATTCTGACGCAGTGTTCTTCATCTGGTTCGGATTCTTGCACTGTTAACTCAGCATGTAGATTGAGTGGTGAAAAGATACAACCCGGACACACCCCTGTCCTGATTTTCAACCATACAATATTTCCTTTTTGAATGACTACCTCTTGGCCTATGTACAGGTTCTGCATGAGCATAGTCAAAGGTCCTGAAACTCCTCTATTTGTTATAAGGTTATCCATAGTTTATGGTCTACACCAGGGGTCCTCAAACTACAGCCTGCGGGCCACATGCAGCCCGCTGAGGACATTTATCGGCCCGACGGGTGTTTTTGCCCCGTTTGTGGGTTTTTTTCAATCATTATATTAGGGCCATTCATTTTTTTACTTCAAAATAAGATATGTGCAGTGTGCATAGGAATTTGTTCATAGTTTTTTTTAAACTATAGTCCAGCCCTCCAATGGGTCTGAGGAACAGTGAACTGGCCCCCTGTTTAAAAAGTTTGAGGACCCCTGGCACACAGTTGAATGCCTTTGCATAGTTAATAAACATAAACACCGTTCTGTTATTCTCTGTTTTAAGCCAAGATCCATCTGAAATC